ATTAGTGATAAATGTTAAGTCCCACACAAAACTTTCTCTTAATAATTCTACAAAATACCAAACAAAAAGTGGGGTGTGGGAAAATGGGACATATTCCTCCGTGAAATAATAAGACATAAGCAGTGATGACTGTTCTATCACAATTGTACTATCTAAAGCATAAATTTGGCGAACGAAAACGTTATATTTGCAGTAACCCTGAATGACTCACGTGGGCAAAACTTAAGACGAATATGTTCGCAATCCACAAACGATCACTTCATTAATTGCGAGCATTTACCAACCCGCGACAATCGTGTCAACTCGGGGATTCCCTTAGCAATACACTCGCTTCTAAACTCACTACTGTTCTACTGTCCAGTAGCCACAATGGCTAGACTGGTCCCTCGTGGAATGGTTCATGCCATAAAAGTCCAGCAACCGAACACTAATTAAGACTGGCCGACCTTGTGTTCATGGTCTGATTAACTCAAGATTCACATCTCACTGTTTTGATTTATCTCACTATCCATTTGATATATTTTCCAACTTCAACTGAAACCCGGTCCCGTGTTACACGCGTGGCCCACGCGTGGCCCACGCGTGTACAACGAGTGGCTCACGCGTGCTCAACGGGTTGCAAACGCGCTGCATACCGTTGCACACGCGTGTTCAACGAGTGCTCAACCCCTGTGGAACCCGTTGAGCACCCGTGTCACATGCGTGTTACGCGCGTTCTCAACGCGTGTTTGGGGAATAAACTTTTAGGCAGTTGTGTACGTAAGGTCAAAATGACGTAACACCAAAAACGACGTCTTAGCTTAAGATTATTGACGTCATTCGACAATTATAGTTTTCTAAGACGGCGGTATTGATCAAAGCATTGTTCTATAGAGGCACTCAAAAGGATTAAGAAATAATTGTTAAAAAGTATAGAAATTATTACACTCGGATGTATTTCATACTGACCTTACGAAACCCGTGTCAGGATCCATGTACATTTCGAAATCTATTTCAAGTTGTGCTTGTTGTCATCTAATCGAAAGGATACATTCAGAATACTGAACGCCATTTGCGACATAAATCGATTTTTTATACTGTTCCTGATTATGGCTGTACTGTACTACAATAATTACAGCCTGCATGTTGTATATTTGGCGTAAGATGAGTGAGTAAACCGCTGGGCAAAAGAAATAAGCAATTGATTTTTTTATTGGACCAAAAGATTACAAAATTTATTTCGCCGAAATACTGCCAAATTAAGTTACGAAACACAACAATGATACCGTATCAATTTCCTCGTTTTCTTGTATGTTCATGGTTTAACCACCATCAAACATGGGTGTATATTTTCTGTTGCCCGGCAGTTTACCTGATATTTAATATATGATAATTGATTAATTTCGCGACAACAATGCCACACCTCACCAGGTATCTGTGTAGGTTTAAATTTGCATCAGTGGCACATCTGATCAGTTATATGTTAAGAGCCTTACAAAGTCGATATGTTTGTACTGGCATCCCAATGTACAAACAAAGAGCTGTGGAAGAAAAGGCCCAGCCAAGCGAATATGGGTCATATAAGTTTACACACAAAGGTCAGTAGCACAATATTGGTCTAACCTTATTGATTAAGTATCCTCAACTATGTCTTAGATTAGCATGTGTTAAAAAATTAACAAGAGTTTCGAACGTCAGGACAGTTAACGCTCATTGGGGCCAACCGCTTTTATCACAGACAACGCCCATCATTAAAGAAGTTGCCATCCACAGAGAATATTGCACTCAGCAATATTCCAGCTATATAACGGCGGTCTGTAAATAATCGAGTCTGAACCAGACAATCCACTGATTGATATCATAAGCATCGATCTACGGTTTGGGACACAATGACATGCATCAGCGAGCCTGACCACCCTAAGTAGCCTCTTACGACAAACACAGTCGCCTGTTGCCAGCAAGCAGGGGTTCCTGAAGACCCCGGATCTTCACTGGTGTGTATGTTTAGGAATAGCTCCCACACGTAAAGCAGAAAACACCCATCCGTGTAGCAGTAAATCAGCAGAGAACACCAACCCTTATAGTAGGAACTACCACCCTAAAAGCAGGAACAGGCACCCTCATTGCAATAGATTCCTTCCTTATAGCAAAGTACGTGCAATCTTATAACAGAAGATATCCATACCCTTATATCAGGAACAGCCATTTGGATAACATGAACACCCACCCTTATAGCAGGATCTAACTCCATTACATCCACCAACCATTATAGTATAGCTATATGCCAAGTTTGATTCATCTGTAAAGTTTTATGATTCTGTACTTACAAAAAAGATATTCTGCCTTAATCTATCGTTATAAAAATAAAAAGTTATGCAAGGCTCAGATAGTGTACTTTGTCGATACTGTCATAACCCGTCCCAACAAAATGGAACACAAATGTTGTTAATGATGTTGTCAACTTCATAATATGATAAGCATATCACATAGTATCACATGTAAGGCCACGCTGTGTACTGAGGAAAATATATCCGCCAAAACTAGACCATCGACATTTGATTTTTTATGTCCATTCCTCTTTTATACAGAGAAATATATACATGTACTACTACGAAACATTAAGGGCCACGCGATTCACTTAATCGTTATGTCATGATCCTGGTATGCTCATAGTGTTGTCCCTTCAGTGTAGCGTATGTCAGGGGTAAAGTCATATTAACTCTTGTTCACTGATTACTTACACCAGTAGGATCATGGTATTGCCCCTTCAGTGTAGCGTATGACAGGGGTAAAGTCATTTACTCTCCTTTACTGGTAACTTACACCAGTAGGATCATGGTATTGTCCCTTCAGTGTGGCGTATGTCAGGGGTGAAGTCATATTAACTCAAGTTCAGTGGTTACTCACACCAGTAGGATCATAGTATTGTCCCTTCAGTGAAGCGTATGACAGGGGTAAAGTCATTTACTCTAGTTCACTGTATACTTACACCAGTAGGAACATGGTTTTGTCCCTTCAGTGTAGCGTATGACAGGGGTTAAGTCATTTACTCTCCTTTACTGGTTACTTACTCAAGTAGGATCATAGTATTGTCCCTTCAGTGTAGCGAATGACAGGGGTAAAGTCATTTACTCTAGTTCACTGATTACTTACACCAGTAGGATCATAGTATTGTCCCTTCAGTGTAGCGTATGACAGGGGTAAAGTCATTTACTCTAGTTCACTGATTACTTACTCCAGTAGGATCATAGTATTGTCCCTTCAGTGTAGCGTATGACAGGGGTAAAGTCATTTACTCTAGTTCACTGATTACTTACACCAGTAGGATCATGGTATTGCCCCTTCAGTGAAGCGTATATCAGGGGTAAAGTCATTAACTCAAGTTCAGTGGTTACTTACACCAGTAGGATCATGGTATTGCCCCTTCAGTGAAGCGTATGTAAGGGGTGAAGTCATTTCCTCTAGTTTACTGGTTACTCACACCAGTAGGATCATGGTATTGTCCCTTCAGTGTAGCGTATGTAAGGGGTAAAGTCATATTAATTCTAGTTCAGTGGTTACTTACACCAGTAGGATCATGGTATTGCCCCTTCAGTGAAGCGTATGTCAGGGGTGAAGTCATTTACTCTAGTTTACTGGTTACTTACACCAGTAGGATCATGGTATTGCCCCTTCAGTAAAGCGTATGTAGGGGGTAAAGTCATATTAACTCAAGTTCAGTGGTTACTTACACCAGTAGGATCATGGTATTGCCCCTTCAGTAAAGCGTATGTTGGGGGTAGAAGTCATATTAACTCAAGTTCAGTGGTTACTTACACCAGTAGGATCAAGGTATTGCCCCCTCAGTAAAGCGTATGTAGGGGGTAAAGTCATATTAATTCTAGTTCAGGTGTTACTTACACCAGTAGATTCATGGTATTGTCCCTTCAGTGAAGCGTATGTAAGGGGTGAAGTCATTTACTCTAATTTACTGGTTACTCACACCAGTAGGATCATGGCATTGCCCCTTCAGTGAAGCGTATGTAAGGGGTGAAGTCATTTACTCTAGTTTACTGGTTACTTACACCAGTAGGATCATGGCATTGCCCCTTCAGTGTAGCGTATGTAGGGGGTAAAGTCATATTAACTCAAGTTCAGTGGTTACTTACACCAGTAGGATCATGGTATTGTCCCCTCAGTAAAGCGTATGTAGGGGGTAAAGTCATATTATTTCTAGTTCAGTGGTTACTTACACCAGTAGAATCATGGTATTGTCCCTTCAGTGAAGCGTATGTAAGGGGTGAAGTCATTTACTCTAGTTTGCTGGTTACTCACACCAGTAGGATCATGGTATTGTCCCTTCAGTGAAGCGTATGTAAGGGGTGAAGTCATTTACTCTAGTTTGCTGGTTACTCACACCAGTAGGATCACGGTATTGTCCCTTCAGTGTAGCGTATGTAAGGGGTAAAGTCATATTAACTCTAGTTCAGTGGTTACTTACACCATTAGGATCATGGTATTGTCCCCTCAGTAAAGCGTATCTAGGGGGTAAAGTCATATTAACTCTAGTTCAGTGGTTACTTACACCAGTAGAATCATGGTATTGTCCCTTCAGTGAAGCGTATGTAAGGGGTGAAGACATTTACTCTAGTTTACTGGTTACTTACACCAGTAGGATCATGGTAATGCCCCTCCAGTGAAGGGTATGTAAGGGGTGAAGTCATTTACTCTAGTTTGCTGGTTACTCACACCAGTAGGATCACGGTATTGTCCCTTCAGTGTAGCGTATGTAAGGGGTAAAGTCATATTAACTCAAGTTCAGTGGTTACTTACACCAGTAGGATCATGGTATTGCCCCCTCAGTAAAGCGTATGTAAGGGGTGAAGTCATTTACTCTAGTTTACTGGTTACTCACACCAGTAGGATCATGGCATTGCACATGGTGTAGCGTAGCGTGGTGAGAGTCTCTGGAGCGAAGCGTGAGGACCCCTTCCTATTTGCCACACCCGAGCGCACCTGCCAAGATCTCAAATAGTATCGATTCAAAGGTCTGTATATATTCTGCTCTCAGACTGTTTACAACAAGTCGTCAATACATCGTGCAACAGAACACCTTTACCCTCTTGTCTCACAAACCGGTTCCAGAGAATGAACTCCTTCATCCATGTCTTGTGTTGTGTGTTTGCAGGTAAGACTTTCATCACTGTTATTGCAATAAGGTAACCAGACAGCGTGAAAAGATTATAGAGTTAGTTTGTGCTTCAATTGTGCTTCATATATTTTGATAAGGTTCACAGTAATTGACATTTATATTGAAATCGGTTGATGCCTGTTATTTTGTAATAATGCTATGCATTTCACGTGCAATGGCATTATACAAGCAATATTGTGATAGAAATGTCATATTTATCATTTATAGAGTTTTAAAGATATACCAATAATATCACTTAGGAGGAAATATGTTCACAAGTTTCAAATGTGGTATGGCATGTCACGATAAGAGACACGCGGAGTGACGGCGATGCTCTTGCGAGATCGATCACGTAGGTTACCGGTGATGTAGAGGGGCGGGCATGCCTTTGTGAGTTTGTCGACATATCTTACGACCTTACCTCAAGGGAAACATATTGATGACCAGGTCCGTGTTTGTTAGATATGATAACATACGATACCACAAGGGATACAGGGTGACCATCAGGGGCATATAGGTCACATGTGATGATATATGTTATCTCTAGAGAAACATTGATAGTCCGTATACGTTACATTGGATGATATAATAGAGGAAGAGAGTCAGGATCAGGTTCGTATAAGTTACATTGGATGTTGTGGTAGGCATGTCGTGGATACGTCACGTCATTCATTACCACCAGTACAGTTTGATCGGCATGTCATGGATACTTCACGTCATGCATTACCACTAGTACAGTTTGATCGGCATGTCGTGGATACGTCACGTCATGCATTACCACTAGTACCGTTTGATCGGCATGTCGTGGATACGTCACGTCATTCATTACCACTAGTACAGTTTGATCGGCATGTCGTGGATACGTCACGTCATTCATTACCACTAGTACAGTTTGATCGGCATGTCGTGGATACGTAACGTCGTTCATTACCACTAGTACAGTTTGATCGGTATGTCGTGGATACGTCACGTCATTCATTACCACTAGTACAGTTTGATCGGCATGTCGTGGATACGTCACGTCATGCATTACCACTAGTACAGTTTGATCGGCATGTCGTGGATACGTCACGTCATTCATTACCACTAGTAAAGTTTGATCGGCATGTCGTGGATACGTAACGTCATTCATTACCACTAGTACAGTTTGATCGGCATGTCGTGGATACGTCACGTCATGCATTACCACTGGTAGAGTTTGATCGGCATGTCATGGATACGTCACGTCATGCATTAACACTAGTACAGTTTGATCAGCATGTCGTGGATACGTCACGTCATGCATTACCCCTAGTACAGTTTGATCGACATGTCGTGGATACGTCACGTCATGCATTACCACTAGTACAGTTTGATCGGCATGACATGGATACTTTACGTCATTCATTACCACTGGTACAGTTTGATCGGCATGTCGTGGATACGTCACGTCATGCATTACCCCTAGTACAGTTTGATAGGCATGTCGTGGATACGTCACGTCATGCATTACCACTAGTACAGTTTGATCGGCATGACATGGATACTTTACGTCATTCATTACCACTGGTACAGTTTGATCGGCATGTCGTGGATACGTAACGTCGTTCATTACCACTAGTACAGTTTGATCGGTATGTCGTGGATACGTCACGTCATGCATTACCACTAGTACAGTTTGATCGGCATGTCGTGGATACGTCACGTCATGCATTACCACTAGTACAGTTTGATCGGCATGTCGTGGATACGTCACGTCATTCATTACCACTAGTACAGTTTGATCGGCATGTCGTGGATACGTCACGTCATGCATTAACACTAGTACAGTTTGATCGGCATGGCGTGGATACGACACGTCATGCATAACCACTAGTACAGTTTGATCGGCATGTCGTGGATACGTCACGTCATGCATTACCACTAGTACATTTTGATCGGCATGTCGTGGATACGTCACGTCATTCATTACCACTAGTACAGTTTGATCGGCATGTCGTGGATACGTAACGTCATTCATTACCACTAGTACAGTTTGATCGGCATGTCGTGGATACGTCACGTCATGCATTACCACTGGTAGAGTTTGATCGGCATGTCATGGATACGTCACGTCAAGCATTAACACTAGTACAGTTTGATCAGCATGTCGTGGATACGTCACGTCATGCATTACCCCTAGTACAGTTTGATCGGCATGTCGTGGATACGTCACGTCATGCATTACCACTAGTACAGTTTGATCGGCATGTCGTGGATACGTCACGTCATTCATTACCACTAGTACAGTTTGATCGGCATGTCGTGGATACGTAACGTCGTTCATTACCACCAGTACAGTTTGATCGGTATGTCGTGGATACGTCACGTCATTCATTACCACTAGTACAGTTTGATCGGCATGTCGTGGATACGTAACGTCATTCATTACCACTAGTACAGTTTGATCGGCATGTCGTGGATACGTCACGTCATGCATTACCACTAGTACAGTTTGATCGGCATGTCGTGGATACGTCACGTCATTCATTACCACTAGTACAGTTTGATCGGCATGTCGTGGATACGTCATGTCATGCATTAACACTAGTACAGTTTGATCGGCATGTCGTGGATACGACACGTCATGCATAACCACTAGTACAGTTTGATAGGCATGTCGTGGATACGTCACGTCATGCATTACCACTAGTACAGTTTGATCGGCATGTCGTGGATACGTCACGTCATTCATTACCACTAGTAAAGTTTGATCGGCATGTCGTGGATACGTAACGTCATTCATTACCACTAGTACAGTTTGATCGGCATGTCGTGGATACGTAACGTCATTCATTACCACTAGTACAGTTTGATCGGCATGTCGTGGATACGTAACGTCATTCATTACCACTAGTACAGTTTGATCGGCATGTCGTGGATACGTCACGTCATGCATTACCACTAGTACAGTTTGATCGGCATGTCGTGGATACGTCACGTCATTCATTACCACTAGTACAGTTTGATCGGCATGTCGTGGATACGACACGTCATGCATTACCACTAGTACAGTTTGATCGGCATGTCGTGGATACGTCACGTCATGATATGAAATATATCAACACGAGTTGATATAAGTGCGAAAACTCCGATGCTCCCCGAGGATTTTTTTCCACTTTTTATCAACAAGTGTTGATATATTTGATATCAAAAGACACGAGGGTGAGATTTTATTTATCATCCAACGTCATTCTTCCAACTTTTTCAGTTTATAGAAAGTAATAATCAGTGTCTTAAGTGTAAAAAGTACTGCTAACAGCTTCAGTAGCAGAGCCATTAGTGATGTCATTTGATTGTGACCTCATGGTAACCAATGACGTCACAATGGTCTGCAAAGCATCGTGATGCAATTTCATTGCAGCGATATCTACAGTATAGATAACTTGATCACAAACTGTTTTGTTTATACTTTGGCCAGAGTTGAGCATCGCGGCAGGAGGAGGGACGTACGGGGCAGTTTGTTCTGTGAAACACGACTGTGTGAACGGAGGGACATGCGACCCCGACGCTAGCGGTACTAATGGAGCCTGTACATGCCCAACAGGATACGGCGGTGGCAGATGTCAGATAGGTGCGGCTCTACTAGTATAGTGGTAGTACATTTAGTGGTAGATATAGCACCAGTGAGTGAGTGAGTTTGATTTTACGCCGATTGTGGCAATATTCCAGCAATATCACGGCGGGGGACACCAGAAATGGGCTTCACACATTGTACCCATGTCGGGAATCGAACCCGGGTCTTCGGCGTTACGAGCGAACGCTTTAACCATTAGGCTACCCGACAGGCCCTGATATAGCTCCAGTAGTAGCAGTAGTACTAGCATTAGTAGTAGTAGTATCAGCAGTAGCATTAGCAGTTGATTAAGTAGCAGTTATAACAGTAGCAGTAGCATTAATGGTAATAGCAATAGTAGTAACAGTAACAGCAACAACATCAGTAGTAGAAGTAGTAGTAGTAACAGTATCATCAGTAACAACAGCATTAGCAGTTGTAGTAGTAGTAGCAGCAGTAACAGCAACAATAGCAGTAGTAGTAGCAGTAGTAGCAGCACAGAGCTGTAGCTATAGCAGCAGCCGTGTCAGCTGTAGCAGAAGCAGTAGTAGCAGCATTAGTAGCAGACGTGCCAGCGGTACCAGGAATAGCAGTAGCAGTGGCGGTAGCAGTAGCAGCAGTAGTAGTGTCGACGATAGCAGCAGCAGCAAATTTCTATATGAAATAACCATATTACGATCAAATTCCAGAATGCTCCACAAACGCAGACTGCCTGAACGGGGGCACATGTGCACTCTCTGTCTGCACATGCGCAGCAGGATACACAGGAGGAAAGTGTGGTAAGTATGATGTTGTATATCTATGTTCCTGTATATACAAAGTACAACATTTAGTACTTAGGTTGAAGGCAAATGTTTCTTACTTGACATTGACCATAAACAAGTATTAATACTGATACCGACATGTGTGAGTGTGTGTGTATATATGAGAGAGAGAGAGAGAGAGAGAGAGAGAGAGAGGGGGGGGGGGGGGGGGGAGGGAGAGGGAGACATAGAGAGAGAGACAGAAAGAGAGAGCGCGCGCTTATACTAGTCCGAAATAATCGTGAAAGCCTACTGTGATACGCGCAATAATCTTCAACACAACATTACCTCATTGACCTCACATTTACTGTAACGATGGAACGTATAAACACAAAGTAAATGGTACTTGTAATCATTAAAAAAATTTGTATGTAAAAATTTCTTGACTGCTGATGTGACATCGTCTATATGAACTAAAACCGGAGCCCTTTTCATAAACCATCTTACATGCGCTTTTGTTGGAAATTCAGGGACCGTAGCGCCCCCATCGGCCGTTGTTGGCGACATCTGCTCCTCGGGGCATCCCTGCAGCAACGGAGGAACCTGCGACACCACAGCTTCTGGAGGGGTAGGGGCGTGCACCTGTCCGTCCGGGTATGCAGGAAAGAGATGCCAAGCAGGTAATGTGTGCAAATGTTACTTCCGGGTATACCGGAAAGAGATACAAGGCAGGTAATGTGTGTAATTGTTACTTCAGGTTAGACAGGAAAGAGATGCCAAGCAGGTAATGTGTGTAATTGTTACTTCCGGTTATACAGGAAAGAGATGCCAGGCAGGTAATGTGTGCAATTGTTACTTCCGGGTATACAGGAAAGAGATACAAGGCAGGTAATGTGTGTAATTGTGACTTCAGGTTATACAGGAAAGAGATACCAGGCATGTAATGTGTGTAATTGTTACTTCAGGTTATACAGGAAAGAAATGCCAAGCAGGTAATGTGTGCAATTCTTACTTCCGGGTATACAGGAAAGAGATGCCAAGCAAGTAATGTGTGCAATTGTTTCTTCCGGGTATGCAGGAAAGAGATGCCAGGCAGGTAATGTGTGCAATTGTTACTTCCGAGTATACAGGAAAGAGATACCAGGCAGGTAATGTGTGTAATTGTTACTTCCGGTTATACAGGAAAGAGATGCCAGGCAGCTAATGTGTGTAATTGTTACTTCCGGGTATACAGGAAAGAGATGCCAAGCAAGTAATGTGTGTAATTGTTTCTTCCGGGTATACAGGAAAGAGATACAAGGCAGGTAATGTATGTAATTGTTACTTCAGGTTATACAGGAAAGAGATACCAGGCAGGTAATGTGTGTAATTGTTACTTCCGGGTATACAGGAAAGAGATGCCAAGCAGGGAATGTGTGCAATTGTTTCTTCCGGGTATACAGGAAAGAGATACCAGGCAGGTAATGTGTGCAAATGTTACTTCCGGGTATACAGCAAAGAGATGCCAGGCAGGTAATGTGTGCAATTGTTACTTCCGGGTATACAGGAAAGAGATACCAGGCAGGTAATGTGTGCAAATGTTACTTCCGGGTATACAGGAAAGAGATACCAGGCAGGTAATGTGTGTAATTGTTACTTAAGGTTATACAGGAAAGAGGTGTCAGGCAGGTAATGTGTGCAATTGTTACTTCCGGGTATACAGGAAAGAGATGCCAGGCAGGTAATGTGTGTAATTGTTACTTCCGGGTATACAGGAAAGAGATGCCAGGCAGGTAATGTGTGCAATTGTTACTTCCGGGTATACAGGAAAGAGATGCCAGGCAGGTAATGTGTGTAAATGTTACTTCCGGGTATACAGGAAAGAGATGCCAAGCAAGTAATATGTGCAATTTTTAAAAGAAAAAAGAAACATTATATTTTGGCTGCAATGAGAACTTTGATATAAAATGTTTAAATATCAGAAATGACACGATAAACTACTTAGAGGGAGGTCTTTGTTAAGAGGGAGGTGTTATTATATTTTATCCGTCTTAAGAACCGCCGAAAGAACATTTATTTCTTGGTGGTGTGCTCGGAAGCGTTTTCCGACAGTCTAAAGAAACGCTCGTAAAATATATCTGGCCAGTAAAGTTTACGCGGTACCAATCTTCAACCAGTTATTGGTCCAATGTGAGAGTGCCTGACTATTGATCAGGAGATTTGGGGTGTCGATTTCTTTCAAGCATACAAAATACGTCTTAATTCTGGACTTGGAACATTGGAAACACTTGGTATTGGAAACACACTTCATCTGATATTCAATTCATTGGGTCTTAAATGTACAAGGACAATTAACCCCCCAAAAAAAGGTTATTACGTATACGAAAAGACAACGGTCAACATCCGTGATTGGTTTATATCTGGGAGTGAACTCTCGCATAGTTATTGGGATGGAGGGAATGACAACTGATGGGTCGCAAGTCTTGTGAAACTATATTTGAGCGAACTTTTGAGTTGTGTCATGTAGTTTTATTTTATCTTTTTTCAAAGCCTGCAGCACAAACGGAGACTGCATGAACGGGGGCACATGTGCACTCTCTGTCTGCACATGCGCAGCAGGATACACAGGAGGAAAGTGTGGTAAGTAAGATGTAGTAAGTAGTAGAAGTAGTAGTAGTACTGTTGTTGTAGTTGTTGTAGTAGTAGTAGTAGTGGTAGATGTAGTGAGTGAGTGACTGAGAGTTTAACGCCGCTTTTAACAGTATTCCAGTTACATCGCGGCGTGTCAGCTTAATGTTGGAGGAAAGCCCAAAGTGATGCAGGTCTCAGACGTTTACCACTTCGGTGAATCCCACGAGCACCGGTATGGTGCTGACAAACCTAGAAAACATAATCGAGGTGAACCGGGACTTGAACCAACAATCATAGGTTCCTGGCGTGCCCAAGGGACGCAACTCTGCACAGCGAATCGCGCCGCCTTAGACGAGTGGGCCACCCGTGCCCCCCTAGTAGTGAGTTAGTGTTGTTTTACGCTGCTTTTAGCAATATTCCAGCAATATCAATATCACCAGAAATGGGCTTCCCACATTGTACCCATGTCGAGAATCGAACCCGGGTCTTCGGCGTGACGAGCGAGCGCTTTAACCGCTAGGCTACCCGACCGCCCCTCCCCCCACAACCCTTTGCAGAAGTAGTAGTAGAAGTAGCAGTAGTAGTAGTAGTAGTCGCAGCTAGAGTCAGGTAGAGTCAGTGACAATACACTTTTTAATAATAAGTTAATAATAAGTACACTCTTATTTTCAGAAACTAAATCCGGTGCTGGTCAGGTAGCATTCCTTCCAGTGGCTCTGTTGGTGTTTGTGTCTGTGCTGCACGTCATCTGAATCTTCCCATCACAGATGAACCTCAACTTGTACCTCGACTTTTGCACTCAAGACTCCTCTTTTCCCCTTGGAGAAATACTCTCGTAAAGTTACTTACATTAACATTTTACACTTATAATCTGGATACATAGCATTGAGATACGTGTAATCCAGATTAAACAGATTCGGATGACGCACATGTGTTCATATTTTGGTATCAGCATGATAATATTGCAATTCCGTCTCGACCTTGGTCAGAATAGGTCTCCAGTACTTTGTTGCTTGTATGATGACAATGAAAATGTTCGGACGGTTAGGTTCACTTGCTAGCATACCCTGATCCTGAATCAGGACGAGTCTGGACGATGTTGTGGCGTAAACAGTAAATAAATCATAGTTCAACAAACACATTATAAGACAAAATGGCTTACAGATGAACATCAACTTTACTCTAAAATAGTTCCTTTGAAATATATATAGATCACACCAGCATATTGTAGAAATGTATAATATACCAAAGTAAAAACCAGGATTTATTTACCGAAATCTAATAGGCTGATGAATATTTGAAAGTTTTAAGAACGCTGCATTCATTATTTCACTTACACAATAAATATATCATATATATATCAACTTTTACTTCAGTTATTGTGTCAATCACTCCGTGAGTATATATGTTCTCGTATATGTTGTAAGGTTCCAGATAGACGTTTTATTGATGTAACAACAATTAATTGTTAGTTGACTAATGTTTGTGTACTATGTTGAAGGAAAATACGATCACATGATTTTTTTTAATTACTCTGTCAGGGAAAACATAAAAAGCTGTATTGTAAAGTGTTGTGTTTTATCCATGCATTTCTTCTGCATCAGCACATACAGGATGAAGGTTTAATCCGTACCTTCACTCATATTAATACACATATGAATAAGTTATCTATTTATGTTGATTTATATTCAGAGAGTGTCCTACCACTCGCTTAAATTGTAATCGTTTTCTACTTCAATAAAAAAGTTCATGACATACTCTTTGTTTCTTTGTATTCATTTAACGAGTTTGTAATTTGCTCTGCATCCATCTCTTCGGTCGATAAGTAGAACATATGAACTCATATCGATTTAGGGTGCACGGGTGGCCCAGTCGTCTAAGGCGCCGCTATTCGCTGTGCAGAGTTGCGTCCCCTGGGCACGCCAGAAACCTATGATTGGTTCGAATCCCGGTTCGCCCCGATTATGTTTCTATGTTTGTCAGCACCATACCCGTGCTCGTGGGTTTCACCGAATAGGTAAACGTCTGAGACCTGCATCACTTCGGGCTTTCTTCCCACATTGTTAAAAGCGGCGTTAAGCCCAACTCACTCACACTCACTATTGATTTAGAAATGACCGCGATCGGTAAGTACATATTTATATTCCATTTAGATGTGGTTAAATCTAAGGGGAACCCAGTTCGGAACTAAAAATACAATATGCTTATCTCCATTCTACATTGACAAACTTTAATTCGGACGTAAGCGTTCAGGCGAAGACCGAGTGTTTTGAGTCTGTTCGCAAGCTGAATTAAAGAAACACCTCTACTAGCTTCGTTTTCAGTCCGACATCTATTACGACAAACTTTGAATAAGGTGATTTATCCGAAACCCTGCACTTTGTACATTATTTCAAAGTTCCAACCGACAATGAGTGACAAAGAAAATCTTGTCTATAAATATTCGTTCCCGTGGTGATGCAGTCGTCAAAGCAGAGATGGTTACTGTAATTTGAAAACTCTGTTTGACCAAACAAAATCACTTATTTCCAAAGTCATGGCATCTTCCCGAGGCAAGAGAGTTAGCTGATTATAAAAGTCCGGTTTCCACCCTTGCCGAACTAGGCTGCAATTACATGTTGGCTGGACTAATTTTAAGTGGACTAAGTTTAATCGCGTAACAAACCAGACATCCAGTTCCTAAACAACATTGATTTCAACGTGCAGATTTCGGACGGCTGCAGGATTTGCAAATCATGTACCTCGACGTTTGCACTCATGGCTCCTTTTTCCCCTTTGAGATATATAGTGTACCGCAAACTGGGGATCGACAGATATTTTGCAAATTCTGTCATGTTTTTAACCAAGGTGTTCACGTGATTTCAAGAATTTCGTGGGGTAAAACCCGTTTTATTACAATATAGACCTTGATTATCGAGCAGATCGTCTTGACTGGGCGCCGCCATTTTGTTTTAAGCAAATGCAAGTGATATGAGAGATGGAATCTGATTGGTCAATTGAAGGTACATAGAACGGCCATAACTCGTAATAGCCACTGGTGGCGCTATGACCGAGCCTGGAAATTCCAGCCTTGTTCAGCAAGGGTGGAAACTGGACTTTTATAGTCAGTTAACTCCCTTGCCTCGGGAAGATGAAGTCATGGTAGAATTAACCATTACCAATTGTATATATCTAGCAAATACTTCAGCGAATAACAACATTATGGAGATGCTTTGTAGACAGAATCTACAGACAGATTAACTCAGTTGACCTTCAACCAATTTACAGTGAGAGAAATGTTGAATTTTTTATTATGAGTGGTCAAAATTATATTTATTTTAAAATTAAAATTAGATATAACTTGTATTGGATACCTCAAAATAAACAAGACTTTTCACACAAAACGTTTTGTGTGAATATATCGATCTATTCATTGCCACCAAACAGATGCATATAAATACAAGTTAGAAAATCTTTTCCAAATTCATATGAAATCACTGCCAATAGCAGAGTCGATTGTGCAATTCCGACTATGTCATGTGTTCATGAATCATCATCCAATAGTATATTGCCTCATCAGTGGCACCCGTAACAAACACATGCACAGACAAGTCAATTGTTCACCTGAAAAACACGGAAACATATGGTACAGGTCAAAATAGGGAATTGCATCAGACATCATTTTTGTCAATGGTGCGCCATTTTTGGATATGTCCTCCACATGTCTACCATGACAATGTTTGAAAACTTTACTGGGGCCTTGGATGTTGTAACCTTGATCAAACAACTTGAATCGCACGAAGCTCTTTAAAAACTTAATAGAACGATCATTCTCGATAGTATCTCAACAGAAATGTAAACACCCAAGGCAGGAATATTGTACTACATCAAGGAAAAGATGACTACTGGAACGTTTAAGTCACCTCACAGTCTTGTGGAGTGTTTTGTCACTCTTAATCTTAATGTAAATATCTAATATGATCGAAGTAAGATCAGATGAGCAGTCATTGGTCTCCTTTATTACTAGTTCAGCTGAGAAAACCAATGGAAGGAAATTGGCAATTTGATGATTATTGAGGGATGTTAGATCATCGATATACTTGACGCTGAACTTAAACATCTTGACCAAATTACCTTGATTTGACGTCACCAAACCGAGCAGAAATCAAGGAAGAAATCAGGAAGAAGGGGGGGGGGGGGGGGGGGGAATAATCGAATCTGGACCAGAAAATCCAGTGATTGACATCATTAGCATCGATCCACGCAATTGGGATACGGTGAGATGTATGACCCAAGTCAGCGAGCCTGACCACCCGAACCCATTAGTCGTCTCTTAAGACAAGCGTAGTCGCCATTTACGGCAAACATGGGTTACTGAAGACCTATTCTACCCCGGATCTTCGGGATAATATTTGACACATGTATATATTATTTTACTCATGTATATATTGTATTGCAACTCTTTCTATGAGCAATACACCTTCATTGTTTTAGTATGATGGGATTATCTTGTTACCGTTCATCACACACACTTGGATGCTGATGCAATATGGTTTGAAACTTGAGAATCCCACGTTCGTTTTGGAACCAGGCTCTGTGTGCATGTTCAAGCTTCCGGTTACAGAAAATACTTTCTTACTGCATTAAAACATTAAATCTGAGAGTCTCATGGTTCTATTTCAGTTGATGAAAAATAGTTTTAGCACTTCTTATTATGTCACTTCCGGTTTTGAAAACACCTCCTTACTTCATTAGAGTGAGTGAGTGAGTATGGTTTTACGCCGCTTTTAGCAATATTCCAGCAATATCACGGCGGGGGACACCAGAAATGGGCTTCACACATTGTACCCATGTCGGGAATCGAACCCGGCTCTTCGGCGTGACGAGCGAACGCTTTAACCACTAGGCTACCCGACCGCCCCTACTTCATTAGAACTTCAAAACGGAACTCTCATGTACGACAGATGCTGATATAACAACTTGAAAGGAAAAAGTATTGTGGCTGTGTAACTTAGTCATTGGTACTTCCTGTTTGATTTACGTCACTTCCGGTATTTGCCTGTCTGACACTTTTCGACTTAAAGTCCTGTACCTAAATTTATTATGATGGTTTATGATGGTCCATTTTACATGACAGTATATAGTACATTTGGACAGCCGCCGTCGTATAGCTGGCATATTGCTTAGTGCGGCGTTAAACAACAAACGTACAAACAAACAAAACATTGAGGCAGAGCACAGAACATTGCATGCAGCCCGCATTTTATTGTGCATACACAAAAGTAGTGAGTGAGTGAGTACGGTTTAAAACCGCTTTTAGCAATATTCCAGCAATATCACGGCGGGGGACACCTAAAATGGGCTTCACACATTGTACCCATGTCGGGAATCGAACCCGGGTCTTCGGCGTGAGGAGCGAACGCTTTAACCACTAGGCTACCCGACCGCCCCACACAAAAGTATGTATGTTCTCTCACCTGATTGGTGATATAGTTTTGTCGAATGAGCACTACATCACTTGATTTGGTTGGTTTCATTACCGTGTATGTATACATTAACAAATGGAACAATTTTTGAAATCATCACCATGGAGATACAGCCGGTAAATCACCCTCGATATCCACATCAGAGATTCCGATAAAATATTTAGCGAATGGGGCGATGAGGCATTTCCTGAGATAATTCAAGACATTGAAGGTAAGTGAAATTTATCTTTCTCAATTAATTAAACAGTCATAATCATAATCTGTGTAATTTGCTTGGGTTTGACAAGAGAGGAAAAATCAGTTTCTAACAGCGTAAAAAACAATTATTTTAACTCAATAATAGGTCAGACTTTCATACATCCACCGAATTTTGCTATTACTATTCCTCACAATAGCTGCTGAAGCTGCAAACCGTTCCGAAGACGGCCCCTGAACTTGGAAGAACAGCCAGTGTTTCCAAAGCGCCCGACGCCTAAGCGTCCACTGACCGTTTCGCTTCCTTTGATGCGAAAGAAATATCGTGGACGGGCAACATCTCCAAAATTACTGGGCGCAATACATCCTTGGGAATTAAAATATTTTTTACGTAAGACATTGAAACATAAAAGAGTATACGCAAACACAAATCTAAAATTTCGACTCAAATTGAATCAACATCAGCGAAAGTTACCTCCCTTACACCCTGATAACAATGTGAAGCGTGGCCAGTGTGTGCCAAATTTGGCAATAATATTAAAATTTATGTCCATGATAAAAATTCAGCGCGATGACCAGACAACACATCATGCTGCTATCCCCGTGAATGAATTTTAAGGAAATCGTGAAAGTTTTGATACTGAAACTCCTCCCTGGTCTCTTCGTAAAGTGTGATTCGGCCTTACACTCGGTTTCGCCGGTCGTGATAAAGAAAGCCAAAGGGATTTGTTTTGATTGTTTATTGATTAACGCCGCACTCAGCAATACCCCAGCTATATGACGGCGGTCTGTAAATAATCGAGTCTGGACCAGACAATCCAGTTATTGACATCATGAGCATCGATCCACGCAATTGGGATACGATGACATGCATTAACCAAGTCAGCGAGCCTGACCACCATAAGTCGCTACGACAGACATAGTCGCCTTTAACGGCAGACATGGGTTGCTGAAAACCTATTCTACCCCGGATCTTCACGGATCATAACGCACCTGAATAATCCTTAGATAATAATGTAGAAGAGTAACAAGTTATGTACAAAGTCAAATGTAAACGTTAATCTAGGGGATATTGATTGGCAGCTGTTTCTCAGAAT